AGTCAGCCGAATGACATCCAACCAGTCCCTCTCTGAGCCGCACCCAGGAAACAGCTGTACATGCTCTGCCTCCTTGCCCTCATGTCCCACCCCGGCCTGCTGCCAGCTGAGGAGGGCGAGGAAGGGCCGGTGGCCAGTCTGTGCTATTCTCCCGGGCAGACAGTGGAACTAGATCAGCTGGCAGCTCCTCCATGGAGCTCTGAGCATGGGCGCGTACCTGGCACAGTTCATCACTCCCCTGGCATCTGTTCCTTGTGCAGCTAGAGGGAGACCCTGGCGTGTGTCTGTGGAGGGTGCATCAGCTCCTTCAGAACCTCTTCCTGAGATTCTGGCCCCACTTCTCCCCACCCCTCCTAATTCACACCCCCCTTCCAATCCATGGCCCCACAAAGTTGTGGGACCTCCACCTCCTCCTGGCGCTGGCCAGGATGGCCATCCGCCATCCCAGGAAGATAAAGCTGGAGGTGCCTGTAGGGCCTGTTTCTGCTCTGCAGAGTCATGCTACCGAGCAGAGGTCCTCTGGGCGGCGTCCACCGGCACCTTTGAGGAGCAGCGGGTGCTGGCGGGCGTTCTTTGACCCATTCCAGTTTTTTCGTTAGTTGTCCCGAGTATTTACTTGTGGGCTGGGTCCGCTGCCCACCCCCCCTCGGTTGAGGGGCAGGCCCTTAGCTTTAGGCAGGCTTAAGCCCACCTCTCCTGGTAACCGCAATGGGACCCGGGACCCCAGCGGCTTCTGAAGCAGACCCAAGAAACCTGCTAGCAGCCAGCCAGGGAATGAGCTGCCCGGAGTGGCAGGGGCGTGGGCGAGATGGCTGGCGGTGTAGGAACGAGGGCGCAGCAGAGACTTGAGGGGAGAAGCAAAAGAGACAGAAAATCTAGGGGAGAAGGAAGAGCTCCTGGTGTAGGACAAGAAAGAAACCAGGGGAGTGTGAGGGAGAGAGGCCTGGAAGACATGCAGGAGAGGCCCCAGGGCTAGTCCAGGGCAGAGGTGGAGCCTCCCAGCAGACTGGCTCAGCTCCCTCTTGACCCTGTTAGTGCCCCTAGGCTGTGCATGCTGCCTTCCCGGCACGCCCTGGTGGACTTGCACCCAGAGCCCTGAAAGGAGGCAGGACAGTCGTGTGGCTGAGGCACAGGGACTGGGGACCAGGACTCCTGGGTTCTATTTCTGATCCTGCCGCGGAGTCGCTGCGTGAGTCCCTTTCCCCATCAGTCCCTGACCCTCCCTGCGTGGCTTCAGTCCCTAATGTGGGCCAGTGCTCTGAGCTCCGTGGCTGGCCGGTGCAGAAAGGGCAGGCAGAGCTGGGGATGTGGGATGCTCCCCTCTGAAGCCCTCCTCTCTTCCCCCCAGCAGCCAGATGCCCAAGAAGAAAGTCGTAGCGCCGCTGAGCCGCTTGTGCCTGGGCAACGTGGCCAGACACATGCAGAGCGTGTGGGTGAAGGATTACAGCGAGAACTACCTCGACGAGTACCAGTTCCGCTACGTCATGGGGCCCTTCAATGAGCTGGGTGAGAGGCAGCCGTGTCCCTCTGCCCCCGCCACCCTCCCATCCCAGAGCATCTCCTGGCCTTGTCCCGCTGGCACCCGGGAGGGCAGGAGACCACCTGGGCACAGCAGGGAGGAAACGCGCTGCAGCGCTGACTTCCTGGCCTTGCCATTTCACAACGCAGACACCCTCCTACCCTGCTGCCCCCTGCCCGCCCTGGGCAGCCCCTCTGCTGGCACAGCCCCGTGCCCAGGGAGGCTGATTATCACGCTGTCTCCTACACAGCCGGCTGCTTAGTCCAGGACCTGCTCCAGTTACTGGGCGAGAGTCGGCGCCTGACGCGGGCCGCACTGCACCTACTGCTCCTGCCCCACCTGACAGAGCTGAGCCTGCGCTCCTGTCCGGGCCTGGTCAGCAACGCCATCACCCAGCTGATCACGGTGCGGTGCCAGGTACGCAGAGCCCCAGCGACCTCCTGGGGACGCACCTGTGATCAGGAAACAGGAGGGAAGGGATCTGAGTGGATGAACTCCTGGGTTCGGTCCCCAGCTCTGGGAGGAGGTGGGTTTCCAGTGGTCAGACCAAGGCGGACTGGGAGCCAGGACTCCTGGGTTCTCTCCCCAGCTCTGGGAGGAGGTGGGGTCCAGTGGTCAGAGCTGGGGGAAGGCTGGCAATTATGACTCTATCCCCGGCTCTGGGAGGAAATTAGTCTAGTGTTTGCGGAGCGGGGGCACGGGGGATATTGTCTGGGAGTCAGGACTCCTGGGTTCTATGGTTATGTCCCCAGCTCTGGGAGGAGCTGAGTTCAGGACTCCTGGGTTCTATTCGTGCCTTAGCCGCTGATTGGCTTTTGCACGGCAGGTCAGTGGTTCCCCCAGCAGCATGCGGAGTGGGTGTGGTGGGTGACGGGTTCCCAGTGTAAATAGACAGGGGGCGGGGTGCTGGGCACGCAGTCTGGGGAGTGGCTGCCTCGCTCCAGCACAGCACTGGCCTGCTGCCCCTCCCCAGAGTCAGGTGAAGCCAGGATTGGACAGGTCCCTCTCCACCGTGAGGGTGGGGCCCTGCCCTGCGGGGAGGGGAGAAGCTGCTGCGACCCCTGCCTGCGTCCTGGAGCTAATGGAGGAGCCCGTTGTCCCCCCCCCGTCATTAACCCCCCCCAAGGGAAGCGGCTGGTCTATCTCCCTGGTTTCTGTTGCAGAACTTGTCCTCCCTGGACCTCAAGGGCTGCAGCCGGGTCCCGACGGCCGCGCTGGTGGACCTGCTGGAAGGGCTGCCGCGTCTCCGCAAGCTGGGCCTGGCGGAGACGCAGGCCAACACGCAGGTGCTGGCGGCCGTGGGCTCCTGCTGCCGGCGCCTGCGGGAGCTGGACGTCTCACACTGCCAGAAGGTGGCGCCGGACTCCCTGCTGCACCTGGCCTACGACCAGACCGAGAGCGCCCTGTGCTGCCCCGCGCTGCGGGTGCTGCTGGCCCAGGGGATAGAGCCCAAGGCCCACAGCCAGGACTTGGTCAGAGCCCTGGCCTTCGTGCTGCTGGCTCTGCCCAGCTTGGAGTTCCTGGCCAACAGCTACCTCAGGGAGGCGCTGTGTCTCATTCACACGCAGCAGTTCAGCGGCACTCAGGGCTTGCCGGGATTCCCCTCGCTGGAGGAGCTGGCCCGGCGCAGGCAGGGTGCCCGTGCAGCCGGGGGCGACTCCTGGCTCACGCTGCCGCTCCGGCGGGTGGAGGAGGTGGAGGATCCCTTCCTCCCCACCTTCTGCTCCGTGTGCCCCGAGGTGGCAGAGGCGGCCGTGTCGCTCAGCGACGGCCCTTGCACCAGCTGGGGCAGCCTGGCCTGGAGCCGCCTCACCCAGCTCACCGTGCTCTGCACGGGGCACCGGGGGCGGGGGCTGGCCGAGATGCTTCCCGTGGCTCAGGGCCTGGGAGCCCAGCTGCAGTCCCTCTCCCTCCACGGCTTCTCCTACGATGACGAATTTTCCTTCTGCGCCCTGCTGAACTGCTGCCACAACCTCACCGCCTTCAGCAGCCACCTGAGCGTCCCCGCGGGGCCCGTGCGGCCGGCCGCCGCTGTGCCCAACGGGGAGCCTGCCGCGGAGCCGCAGGACTGGGAGCTGGACCTGCTCCGCCACCCCTTCCCCAAGCTCCGGCACTTCAGCTTGGGCCTGGCCAGCTCGTGTGAGCCTCTCCCTTCCCAGCATGCCTTTGTCCTGCGGGCGAGCCTGGCCTCGCTACTCAGCCGCGCCCCCCGCCTGGAGACCCTGGCCCTGCTCAGCATCCCCTTCTCCCTGGACGGCGTGTTCCAGAAGGTGCTGGATGCCCCTGGCGCTGCCCTCCGCAATCTGCGAGAGCTGTCACTGGCCGAGAGCCAGGTGTCCAGCCCGACCCTGCACTGCCTGCTGGCCTTGGACAACGGGCTCAGCTCCCTGAACCTGGCCGGCTGCCCGGCCATCCACCGGCGGGACTACGACCAGCTGCTCCGCACCGTCCGCAAGGAGAGGCTGGAGCTGGACATCGCATGGCAGTGAGGTGTCCTGCCTCGCCTGGGACGCTGCCCCTCTGCCCCGTGCCGCGGGAAGGAGCCCACACCGCACGCAGGCCCCAGAGAGCTGTGTTTAATAAAGCAGAGTGAACACAGGGGGGGGGGAAGCGCCTGCGAACGAGCTTCTGTCAGCCTCCCTAGGACTGCGCTTTCCCCGGCACAGCCTTGAACAGGGGCAGCGAGGGCCTCGTTGTGGGGGGCCCGGGGGAAATGGCGAGGGGCCCAATGCCAGGCCTGCCTCAGGGCTCTAAGGAGGTTGCTGACTGGCTTGGCCCGCCCCCCATCAGCAGCTGCGCTGTAGAGGCTCCTCCAAGCAGGCCCCCACTGGAGGTGGGTAGTGTAGACAGGGCCCTGCCCTGCCCAGGCTAGTTCTGAACTGTTCCCCAGATAACGGGCGGGGCTGCCACAGGCGGCAGGAAGGGTGGAGGAGGAGCTGGCACTCAGCAGCACGGAGACCAGTGGGCCCTTGCAATCGGGTTGCCAGGTGTCCGGTTTTCGACCAAAACGCCCGGTCGAAAAGGGACCCCAGCAGCTCCGGTCAGCACCACTGACTGGGCTGTTAAAAGTCCTGTTGGCGGCGCAGCGGGGCTTAGGAAGGCTTCCTGCCTGCCCTGGCGCCGCGCAGCTCCCGGAAGCAGCAGCATGTCTCCCTCTGGCTCCTAGGCGTCGGGGCAGCCAGGGGGCTCCGTGCGCTGCCTATGCCCGAAGAGCCAGCTCCACAGCTTCCATTGGTTGAGAACTGCAGCCAGTGGGAGCTGCGGGGGCAGCGCCTGCGGATGGGGCAGCGCGCAGAGCCTCCTGGCTGCGCCTTCGCATAGGAGCCGGAGGGAGGACATGCCGCTGCTTTCGGGAGCTGCTTGAGATAAGCGCCGCTCAGAGCCCGCACCCTAATCCCCTACCCCAGCCCTGATCCCCCTCCCGCCCTCCAAACCCCTCGGCCCCAGCCCAGAGCCCCCTCCTGCACCCCAAACCCCTCATCTCCCACCCCCAGCCGGAGCCCTCACCCCCTCCTGCACCCCTACCCACTAAGCCAGCCCGGTGAAAATGAGCAAGGATGGGAGAATGAGCGACATGCGGGAGGGCTCGGAGAAGGGGCAGCGGTGGGGCAAGTGTGTTTGGTTTTCTGCAAGTAAAAAGTTGGCAACCCTACCTTGCAATGACTCAGCTAATCCCCACCCTCCTGCCGGTCTGGCTTCTGCCAGCAGAGCCCCCACCTCCCCTCCTGCTCGCCCCAGGTCCCAGCTCCCGCAGGCCCCCTGGCCCTGCGCCCGCGGGAGTAGCTGGGTTCTGCAGGGCAGGGGCGACAGGCTCCATTGTTCACATGCGCCCGCTCTCCGTGAGGCCGGTCAGTCGCTCCGACTCCTCCCACAGCTTGCGCTCCAGGCCCGGGTCGCGGGCAGCCGCACAGGGCAGCACCAGTCTGCAGTCGCTGTCGAAGTACTTCCCCGTGATGTCCGCGACCTCCTCTGAGACGGCGCAGTAAATGGTGCTGGTTGCTCCCTCCTCAGCGGACTAGAGAGAAGAGGGGGGTTAAAAGCAGCCTCAGCAGCGGCTCCCCACCACACCAGCCCCCCACAGCCCCAGGCACTACACAAACCCCACCTGGCAGCACCAGAGGGGCAGAGCTCAAGCCCCCCACCGAGGCTTTCATGCCATCCTGGCCCCACAACTGCAGAGACAGGGCGCAGCGAGTGGGAACAGGGCCCTGGAGCAGGGAGGGAGGGACAGCGGGGCCCGGGCACAGTGTGGGGAGCTGGGTCCATGGGCGGAGCAGGGAGGCAGTAACTGAGGGTATGGGGAGCAGGGCAGGGGGCAGGAAGTAGGTGGGTTTGTGGAGGGCAGGCAGCAGGTGAGGGTGTGAGGACAGGCCGTGGGTGAAGTTGAGGGGAACAGGGCAGGGGGCAGGCAGTAGGTTAGCATGGGGGGACAGGCCGTGGGTGAAGTTGTGGGGAGCAGGGCAGGGCTTGGGCAGAGGGTTGAGTTGTGGGGGGCTGAGGGCTCCAGCTGGGGGTGAGGGCTGCAGGGGGGGGCTGGGGATCAGGGGCTGGGGCATAGGATTGTGATGCGGGGGTGAGGGCTCAAGTAGGGCCAGGGATGAGAGGTTTAGGGTGCGGGAGGGGGCTCAGGGCTGGGACAGAGGGTTGGGGTGCAGGGGGTGAGGGCTCCAGCTGGGGGTGCAGGCTCTGGGGTGGAGCCAGGGATGAGGGGCTCGGGGTGCAGGCTGCTCCGGGGCTGCAGCAGGGATAGAGGACTCCCCCCAGCCAGGGCCGGCTCTAACTTTTTTGCCGCCCCAGGCAAAAAAGAGCGCTGCCCCGCCATAACCCGCCCCAGAGTGCTGCGCCGGGCCACCCAAACCGCTGGAGCACCACGCCGGGCCACCCAACCCCGCCCCCGAGCGCCACGCTGGGCCGCCCAAGCCCCAAAACCCCGGAGTGCCGGGCCGCGCCGGGCTGCCCAAACCGCTGGAGCGCCATGCCGGGGCCACCCAACCCCGCCCCCGAGCGCCATGCTGGGCCGCCCAAGCCCCAAAACCCTGGAGCGCCAGGCTGCCCAAACACCTGCCCCCCC